GTTTTATTTTAATTATTCTGTAATAGTAAAGCTACAATATTAACATTTTGTTGTGTAGAAAATAAAAGACAAATTTTAAATAATTGTAGAAAAAATATTACATAGGGGAAATTTAGCTGAAGGTTTGAAGTTTTCTTTTTTGGTTAACTTGTTTCTAATAATATTATTATTATTTTCCATAGCACAAAAATTATTCAAAAGAACATTTGAAGAGCTCCAGACAAGCATTCTTTCTAATTTTTCAATATTGTGACCCTCACCAAAAGAGTCCACATGAAAAAGATGATCATTATCTGCCAAAACATAAGGTCATATACATGGCTAATTGCTTTTGATTTACTGAATGTAGAAAAGAAGAATTTTTTGTCAAATTATCAATAACTAGATAATTATAGATATCAGCATTTGTAGTAGTATCATTAGGATATAGCAGAGAACCTCTATTAATCCCCTGAAAATAGCTGTTTATTTCAGGTATTTTGTCCTCATTATCACTTCCAGATATTAAATTCTTGCAACTGTTGCATTTCATTTTCTTAAAAACTGTATAACCGCAATAATCTGCTACATATAATATAACAAGAACAACTTCTCTGCATTCATTAACATCCTCATCTGTTAAATTTATGCTAAATTTATAAATATCTAAATTTTGAACCCCCTCCCCGTCACTTCATCCCAGTTAGTTTGTAAATTCTTCAAATCAATACTTTGGTTATTAAGTGGCAGGCTCAATTTTAAAACTGACATCATTCTGATTTTTTTCACACTCAAACACTTGATGTATAGAAATATTATATTGATCTCCACCAAGTTGCCGGTACTGGCCAAATCTATCCTCAAGGTGATCTGTTTGAAATTTACCAGGTAATACATACATCATTTTCAATTCTTCTGTGCAATATTTGGTCAGTTCTAGAATTGCATGAGTAGTATGATGCAAAGCTGTGAAGGTTTCATTTGTTAGCTTCCCATTATTTCCAAGAATGCTATTCCAAGATTCTAACCAGTTGCAGAATACATTGAGAAATATATAATTGTCATCATTTACTTTAAGTGGATTAGCATATTTATTGTTAAGCCGCCAACCTTTATATGGTGTTTTTACATTCAGTATTGTCCATCAAGTATAAAATATGTTTATGTATTCTGAATGAATTTTTGCAAAAGACAAACATTTTTGTCAATTTTTTAAGACATTTTTTCTTTAAGGTCAGAAAAAATTGTAAATAGTGAATTGGTTAAAAATTTGCAAAACTAATGAAACATTTTGCCTTTCCAAACTAACTATTGGGAAAAAAAAGAATTGAGATCAATTTATAACAATATTTTAAATTTGGCTGAGATTTCAGGGCATTAAGCTTCTGTAAAGTACACAATGGGGCACTTTGGATATTATTTAAATAATAAACATTTTGATTTCCATTATGACAAAATTTTGGGAACATCATTTCATTTACTTGCATCTTTTTTGACCAAACCAAAAGTTGTTTCTAATGCATTTTAGTATATGAACTGAATTATGAATATGAAGAAAATGAGGTCTAGATTTCATAACTGGATGTGGATATACAATTGAAAGTTTTGCAGGACTACAAATGAAAGATATAGCTTTCTTATTTATTGCATTATTATCTGTTATGACTGATATTACTCTAAAGCCTATCTTCTAGACCAATTATTACATGTTTAACTATGTCAAATAAATTCTCAGCTTTAAGACATTTAGTTGGCATAATATGCACAACATCCTTGTATCATGAGAATACACTGCTAAGCATAAAAGCAAAAGCACTTGTTGCAGACTCATTGCTGTTGTCAGCTAAGCCAACAACATTACCACCTTTATAATCAAAATAAGGTTTTAGGTGAATTTCATCTACAAGTAAAGATACTGTAATGTCTTTTTCCTCTAGTAACTTAAACTTATTTTTAATATACATAAGAAAATTGTTATGTTGCTCAACTATAGGATTCATATAGGTTGATAAGGTTAGTCTTCTGATGGCTGAATAACAAAAGGTAAAATTATATTTTTGGTGTCTCTTAACAGCCTATAACCTCTAGGGGAGCAGTTATACAACAATGAAGAAAAAAAATCATCATTTCTGCTGAATAATCAAACTTACTCTGTGTCATTAATTTTAGCTGCTCATATATAAATTTAACTGCATAAAAATATCTAAATGACTTATCTTGCACTAATAACAGAAAGGACATTACCAAATGTAATACAGCAATCACACTTTGAGGTTTGGTTTGACATTCTTCTATGTCCATTTTTTTCATGTTTTCAATAATAATTTCCAAAGTATTTGTATCACTTACATGATCAGGAATCTGATACTCCCCTATAGTATTAATTTCCACATCACCACAGAACACATGTACTGCAAAATCAGGTTCAATTATAACAGATTGACTGATTTTGGGATATGGAGACTTGATGATGTGACATATAATGTCTCTTGCTGTCTCACTATACTCCAATAATCTCTATCAAGAAAATTTAATTTTCCCTCTATATCATTAATGCTGTGGAATCTCCTCTGTTGTTTGTATTCCATGTCATCAGTAATACTTTGAGCTAAAGCTCTTTTAAGGGCAGAATTCTCCAATTGAATTTTTCTGGACTCTAGTGACTCTATAGAGGAGGTTAGTGAAGATAAATATGAGGGACAGTTTGATAAAATTCTAGGATTGCAAACCTAAATCATGAAGAATTGGCTTTTTTAAGGTTTAATTTTCATTTTTAATTGTTTCTTATCAGTTTTCTTATGGAATGCTTGTTTTATGTTTCTTGCCTTATGTCCTCAATTATTTTGAAAATGCAAGTTCACATACCTAAAAAAAAAAATATTAAAAGATTGTAAAAAAATTACAATACATTAAAATGAAATTTCAAAAAATGTATTTATAAAAAAAAAAAAAAATATTGTCCATATTTTTATTGAAAATTTCATTAAATTGATAAAATAATGAGTTTTGTAGGTGTTTTAAAATTCAGTAACAAAATTCAAAACCTGTGGTTTATCTAATCTCTGTGATTTAGGTATCTTGACTGAGGCTTATTATTTCTACTTGTAGACTTGTTTAACACTAATAAAAGGTATTTACCTGGTATTTGTTAGTGGTAACATTTGCTTTAACTCATTAATGGGGAACATTGTAGTATTTTTATTTTATGAAAGAACTGACATTGGTATTTTAAATAAGTAGTGAGTTTCATAAGAGTTCTAATAATAATCATCTAGTCTCTTGGAAGTTGTGAGTTAAATGTATGGCTGTATGAGGCAACAGGCATGCAAAATAATATTTTTTTGGAGTGGGTGTTGACAATGCCTCAAGCAAAATAAATTTTGTCAGGGACATCCTATTTTCATCATTTTTCCTGTGAAACAACCACTCAATTGTAGCAAACCTAAAGTAAATTTTACAGGTGCAAGACATCAGTGACGTGTCCCTTTACTTCATTGTTTATGCACCATTCTGCCTGCATACAAGTAAACCCACTCATTCTGCAACTCTGTGTCCATTTACCAAGTTTTGTTCATGTTTTTTCAGTTTCATTCGCCTAATACATATCCTAATATTACTTTTTCACACATAACTTTCCAATCTGAGCTCATGCTGTATGGGCATGATTCACACCTCCACATGTTGTCCATTGGTTGCTGCTGATCTTGATAATTAGCACATGCAGCAATATGTGTACATGTGGCTCTGTAACACGCAATGTGTCACACACTGACACACATAACCTGCGGAATGCAACACCTGTTCAAGTTGCCCATTGACTGCACAATTCAATCAAATGTCGCTGTGTCATAATGATTGTCAACGCAGTCCTAAGCTTATTGCTACCACTTAATTCTGCTTCTACTTCTGTATATCCAGCCCTGGTTACACATTCCCCTTCTTTTGGCCAAGAGTTCAGTCTCTTTCAAATGTGGTTACTTTTCTGTTGTATAAAACGTAGGCTTTATGCAATGGAAAAGGTAACCTAAATTTTAAGGTGTTGCTTTCATTGTCATTTATAGCTATTCCCAATTTAATTTTTTTATTGTCTTGCTAGTTTTTGCTTTACATTCACTGTAGTAATAAGTAAGCTTTATTTTTTATTACTCAACATTTATTTTTCCAACCTTTCCTAAAGTTATTCCAGCTTAGTGATCCCTGTAGCTTTACAGTGTTCTCTTCTGGTATTTGCCCATGCATTCCATTTGACAATTCATACTTGCCTAAGAAATGCCACCAAAAAAAAGAACTTGCCTAGGTTGCAAAACAGCTGCCGCCAGGCCCACCATGTGAATAAGGGATAATGAATATTCTTTAGAACATTCAGTTCGTCTGTCTCAAAATGCCTCTTGGAATTCTTCAATCAGAGCCACTGAGTCCGAAGATCAATGTAGCCATCGGCTTTCCAGAAGAGCATACCTGAACATTACTGCAATGTGAGGCTGAAACTGATGATCAAAGGACTGATGAGAAACGCCTCTTCAACTACTGCTGTGCATGAGGCTGAAAAAAGATTGAGAACGCAAAAACAACCCTTTTCAGGGCCAGCCCCCATTCAAATTGTACACCCCTCATTTGGGGATGTGTCTCAGTGGCACCTAATTGTTGTTACTAATATTGGTTTTTGAGTGGGCTGACTTTAAACTGCTCCAATTGAATGGCAAAAATTCCCAGTAATGAAACACCCAGTCGAAGATGGGTTATACTGCTAGTAACTTAAAATTAATTCATCAATAAAGTACATTAAATTTTAATGTTATAAAGCATTTTTTAAAAATATTTCATTTATTTTCAAATGAAAATATTCAACTGATTTATGATAATTTTTAAAATTAAATTATATCTTCTATTATCACTGAAAAATACTTGTGTGCATGCAATCAGCAGAAAATTGGTGTTAGAGTTGTCTTCAGATTTGTGGTTATTGCTCTATGTTACCAACATCATTGGGTTTAGTGAAGATTTGTGCAATCTTATTCCAGAGAGCCAAATGAAGAAACATTCACCATTGATCAGCAGTTTTTGTGGGGAAATGGTCTAATGATCAGCCCAGTAGTAAGACCAGTAAGTATCTTAAAAATATTAGAAATCTTTCAGATTCTTTAAGAATTATTTTATGATCTTTTTTTTTTTTCAATATTGCCACATTTTAACTCTCAGTTTTTTTTTTTCTTTTTATAATTGTTCATTTTCATTGCATTTGATTTTATATAAATATGAAAATACATCTTGTAACTCTTTTTGATAATAATGTTTTGCTACTTTAGTTTCATATAAATTTTAAGGGAAAAAGGTTTGTTTTTTAATATTGTATAGTTTCTCTATTTTTAAAAGAAAATTATTAAATTTGTAATAAAACTATATTTTTCTTATTTGTCTAAATAGAAAAAAATTATAAAGAAGGAAGTACAGTTTTGACATAATTTGTAAGTTATCTATATGTTGGCCATCACTAATTTGCCATCATAGGAACTCGTGTATTTTTTACTTTTGAATTCTTTTACATTGATCAATTTTTCATAACCATACTTCATATCAAAACAAAGTATAGATCCCAATAATACATTTGAAAAACATGCAATGAAAGCAACAAAACAATTAGAAAAATTAGATGAAGAAAACTAGTAATTTCATCTTCGAATCTCAAAATGACTTTTGTAAATCAGATAAAAAGTAACAGAAATGTTAATAGTGTATAGTTAAAAAATATATTTATTTGATTAAAAAGTAAGACTATGTATAATAATAATACATAAAGATAAAATAGGAATGTCTCACTTGTGCTTTTTGAGGTCACATCCCAAGATCATCATGTATTTAGCATAACTAAAATAATAGTAACAGCTCTGATGGTCCAAGAAATAGAAGTACATTAGATAAAATTATGTACATATGAATAGTGAAAATGAATTGCCTATTGTTGGCTTATCACTGGTGAAACTGTATCTACATACTTACTAGAATGAGGAAATTCTATTTCTTGATATGATTTTTTTTTGCAGCAACAACTTAGTCATGCATAAAATTTCAGAAATTTGTTGCCTGTCATTTCATTTTTTTCTTGTAGAGTACATTTGAAGTGAAAGCCTATTTTCCAGAAGGTTCTTGGTATGATTTCTACACAGGAACTAAAATCGGTTCTACCGGGCTTTACATGATCCTAGATGCTCCCTGGGACAAAATCAACTTGCATGTTCGAGGTGGAACAATACTTCCAATCATTGAACCAGATGTGACCACCACAGCTTCGTATGTTTATCTTTTGTTATATTTTTCTTAACATTTGTTTTTAGATAAATAAGTTTATTTAATCCAATAGATGACATCTTAGAAGTATCAAATTGTTATTCACCCATTATGTAATAGTAACTTCTGATTATGACTCCTTCTAAAACATGTTTTATATCATTTTAATTATTGGCAAACATTACATATCAGAAATTAAAAAATAAATATAACTGTACCATTTATATATATATATATATATATATATATATATATATATATTTACAATATGATTAACCACAAAATAAGTAGATTTTAAATATTTCTAATAAAATCATAAAATATCTGAAATTTGCACATATAAAAATTATCTTGAAATTTTTATAAGCATTGGTTACTTAAATGAAAATATTGATTAGCTGCATAATAAAATCTGATATAGTGTATATTCTTATAAAAATCTAAGGAAAAAATATTGGCTATAATTTATTTGCACCCCCTGTACAAAATTTTTACTTGCCTAATTGTTATTAACAGTATTGCATTAGGAATTTGCAGCAGGGCTTTTTACTCTAAGCCTGTATCCCTACAGTTTAAAATTGTTATACTTTATTCTAACAGTCTTTCTTTGGCATTTTTAACAAAATTCAATATAAACTTTTCAATAATGTAAGAAAGACAACTTTTTTGTTGTTAAAAATTCAGTCACCAGATATTTTTTCAGGCATATTCTAACAAGTCAGTTAATAAATTTTAAGTTCAGCAGAAGACAGATATGAATATCCAGAATCAATTAAATTACTTCCTCTTTATTTTATTTAATTCCTTCATATATAAAATTATAATTTTTTACTACTGAGCATGCAATATACAAAACATTTTATTTCAGTATTTCTTTTTATAATTGGGATTAGTACAAAAAAGAAAATGTTAAATTCAAAGTTTTATTTATTGCAGGAGGAAAAAGAAATTTGGCTTGTTTGTTGCTCCAGATACACAAGGCAAATCAAAAGGAGAACTATTTTGGGATGATGGTGTGAGTTTAGGTAAGTTTTTTTATTTATACTATTGTTCAGACACAATCTAAAGCCCAAGAGCTACTCAAGGTAGAGGATTACTGAATGAAGTTGTTATGAGGATGTAAAAGGAGGGAGAAGTAAGAAGTGCATATTATGAAATGTAGGATAGAAGAACACTTAGAAAAACCAATAGAATACAAAGAGAATAAAGAAGTTTCTTGCTCTGTATACATGGTCATGGTGAGTTCTATCTGTGAAGGTATGGCAGCTGGTGGAACTAAAGAATGTAGCATGTTTGAACATCTGCCATGAAAATAGTGATTGTGTAGAAACATTTTGTCTGTGAGAAAAAAATTGTAGGGTAGAAAATAAGTAAGATTTTGAACTTTTGTCAAGGCTGGAAGATTGGTCAGTTCCACCTCAGATATTGCAGCAATAGTCCATCTTTGGTTTGCTCTAACTTTTGTAAAGATAGAGCATCAGAGAAGGTGTCAGGTACTTTCTGGGGTGCTACAAGCAACCAACTATTTTTCTAGCATCATTAGCAATGGGTGCTAGAGATGCTGTAGCTTGAGAGTCTGTGTAACAATCCACTATGCTACACCTTATCAAAAGCCTATATTTGATATATCTAAGGCAATTGTTTTTGTGATAAATTTATTATGTAAGTATTAAAATACATTAAAGTATTAAATAAGTAATTAAGTATTAAAACATGCATTTTAATGAGTTACAGGGCAGTAAAAAATTGGAATCCTCTTTCATTTGACATAAAATTCTGAAGAATCCAAATATTGTTTGTATATGTCTACATATCTAACATTAATGCTTCTTACACACACTTTAAATAAATTATCTTATTACCCACAGATACTCTAATGGGATACATTTACTTATATTGTATATAATGTTTTCAGTATTGGTGCAAAATGTTAAAGTATATCAGTCTTATTCTGTTTAAATCCTTGTTATTTTAGGATGGAATAATACTTGACATAATCTATATTTAGCAATGGATTTTTTGCTTCTTTCTAAGCTAGGACATTACATAATGTAAAAATGATAGAAGGAAAATATACTTTTTACAAAGAATATTAACTTTTTAGTTTTTAAAAACAAAGTAGTTATTTTTATCAAGCATAGCTGTAATTTGTAATGTATAATTTGTATGAAGAAGCATTTGAAATTTGAAATAATGATTTATTTCCTTTTGTATTTGTGAATTAATAGAAGTAACAATTTTATTTCTGCTAATCAAATGTGAATACTTAGTTTCTTAGACAAGCCACTATTTATTTGACATTCATTCTGTCAGTCATTCCATCAGTTTTTACCAGTTTTTCTCTTCTTTTTTTTTTTTTGTTTATTTCCAATGACTTGAAACTGGCTTTTATTTTCTTTGAAGATTCAATAAAATCAGGAAAATTTACACATCTCATCTTCATGGCCACAGAAGTAAGTTTTATGCAAATATTTATCGTAAAATGGAACCAAAATGATTTTCTAACAGAATAAATGATTAAAAAGAATTAAATATAGAAATATATTGCAAGTTATTCAAAATATTTAATAAGATAAATTATATAAATAAATATCATGTTTAATAAGACATGCATAATTAAGAATTGAGTAAAACTTCTGGATTTCAACAAATGTTGGAAATGTCTGTTTATAGGAAATGAAATATATTGCCATATAATTTCAAAATATTTTTTGCACAAATACATTAAAATTGATTACTATACATTAGAAATTACACTGGTCAACACATATTTTGGTGCAAGGATGAAAATAATCATTCTTGTCTAATTTGAAGGCGCCAAATCCCAAAATCACATCCATTTTTTTATATTAGTTACCATTTTCTCAGTATCAAAATGCCTCATTTTGGTAAAAATTTTTATTTTATCCCATTGTTTTATTGAATGAATTCATGGTTTTCAGATTAGAAAATCAAATATTAATCAATTCAAATCAATTTCTATTAATGAAAAGTAATCTGATATCTCCTTGATGACTTTATAAAAAATGGAATCCAATCATTGGGTTTTACCATAACCTAACTATTTTTATAAGTAACTAACAATGTGTATAGATATCTCCAGGTACATCGGTATTCAAACTATTCATAGTCTTAGCAGTGGTAATCCCATGTGGGTATTATTTTTGTACATACCACATAATTATAAACATGATCTATGTAAAATAGGTTTGGTGTTTTATATGAGTTTATTGAATTTAATTGATGTATAGTGTTAAAAGTAAAGTTGTCTTTTACTTCGTAAGCAAATACAGTGCTATTATCAAACTTTGTTTTATTTCTAGACACTTAAAATCAAGGCAATTACTTTAAACAGAGGATGCAAAAACAAACTCAATTTCTTCTGTTATAAATGTGGCACATTTACAACCACCAATAAGAGAAAACAAGTCAATGATTTTGGAAAAGGTCATCATGCTTAGTTTGAAGTGAATAAGGAGAAATCGTAGGCACCACATATTGTCGGCAAAATATGTCAGAACTTTTACCAGTGGACTAGGGATACTCAATCTTCACTTAAGTTTGGCATTCTGATGATTTGGGGTGAGTGACAAAATCACATCATTAACTGACTTCAACAAAAAGAAATGGAAAATCTGTGAACAATCTTCCTCTCAATTCAGCTATCAGACCTGTACCACTTTGATGAAATCTCAATTCCTGTTTTCAAAGCTTTACATCCAGTGACATTGAAAAAGATTTCATTGACATGGGCAAGAATGACAATGACAATGATTTTGAGGGATTATCTTCTGAGCCGATACTGTTTGATTAAGAGGAGCTGAATGACTTAATTGGGGATTTTAGTTTATCAAAAGAATTGGTGAAACTATTAGCTTCAAGACCAAAGGAGAACTCAAAGTGTAGTTTAAGATTTGTTTTGCTGCACAATGCCAATGTATACGTATTGATACCAATTGGACACTTCACAACAATGAAAGAAAATCATGAACTCATCAAGGAGGTAATGGAAAATATAAATTACTTTCATCATAACTGGGTGATTTGTGTTGACCTGAAAATGTTAACTTTTTATTTGGGCAGCAATCAATCCACATAAAGTTCTCATGCCACCTTTGCTTATGGGAGAGTTGAGTCAGAAATCAACACTGGGATAGAAAAGAATGTCTGGTCAGAGTAGAGATGAAAGTTACATAGAAAAATGGGATAACTGATCTGCTAGACCACTGAGACAAAATCAAATTCCTTTTTCTCCATATCAAATTAGAAATCATGAAGCAATTTGTGAAAGCACTTAACAAGGAAGGCCAAGGTTTTCAGTACATTTGCAGTGAATTTTTTGGTCTCAGCATAGAAAAACTGAAACAAAAAAAAGCTTAACATGCTTACTTTGAAGTGAAGCTGTGTGATAAGGACAATTTGGGGGCACCGTGTATTGTCTGCAAAACATCTCCTCAAGGACACATGGCACGGTGGATAAGGGCATTAGTTAGATCCAGTGACAGCACCCAAAGAGTGTGTGTTCAATACCTGGTTAAGGCAGTGGAGAGCGTACAATGGCTGAAACATTGTGATAAATATGGCAACAAAGATGAGGATGATAGTCCAAACAATGTAAATAATGTCTGTAGAATTTATGCCAGTGGACCAAGTGTAATCAAACATCTTCTTTTTTTTTTTTTTGATAGACCTGGCATTTGAAAACTCATCAAGGATTACTTGCATTATTTACATTACTTGAACTTTTATCCTCATCTTCATTGCTATATTAATAATGTTTTGACCATTGTACGCTCCAGCCTTCTTCATAGAGCCAAAGAGTTGTGAGTTCAATATCAAGCCACAGAAGTGGTGAACCAAAACTTGGAAGAGAAATAACTAAGACATCCAGAAGAGACATAGCACATGGAACTAGAACACTCTACCCCAGTGGATAAAATAAAGGGTTCAGCTCAAAATTCCAATCACCTGAAGAAGGCCAGAGCATACAATGGCCGAAACGTTGTGAATATGAAGATGAGGATAACAGTCCAAGTAATGTAAATAATGCAAGTAATTGCAGTACCTCATCTCAGAGATATAGACAGATACTCATCAAGGATGACAACTTCCATCACCTGCCTGAATATTACTGAATCAATGCTTGGATTTCATTTGTTGCTTTAGTAAATAAAACTTTTGTTAATTGCAAGAGAGTTGACTATAGGGAACTAGTTGACAGTTAGCAAACCACTGGGAGCTTGGTGCTGACATGAAAAACTACATTTCCTGTATAGTCATTTGGACAGGATTCCAGAAAACTGGGGTAATATAAGTGATAAAAAAGAAGGCTTTCATCAAGATATAACAGTAATGGCAGACAGATATCAAGAGAGAGGGGATAAAAGAATGATGGCAGGTTACTGTTGGAGTCTGAAAAGAAACAAGACTGTGGATCATTTGTTAAAATCAAAAAAGCAAAGGCACTTACCATGATTATTTTTAAAAAATTTTTAACTTCATATTTAATCTAACAGATTTATGTTTTGATGTACTTTTCTTTTTATCTCATAGTTGAAACTTTATTTGATTTGCATTTGCATAGATGTTCATTTTTCACTTTTCAGACAAATAACTTAAAGTGAGCAATTTTCCTGTTTTTGTCTATCATCTGAAGTATGATAACAAGAGCTAACTGAGAAAAATGACTGATATTTGAATTCAGCGCCATTGAAATTGTTTTATAAACCTTGCACCATTTAAAAAATTTTTGTGTAGGCCAGTGTTATTTAACTCATAAAATATATCACATAATTTTATCATGAAATATATTATCAATTTTTTTTAATATAGATATATATGTAGAAGATATAATGATAATGAAGTAATATATAGTCATTTTATTATAGAAATACAATGCAAATGATTTTCCATTTAAATAAATGCAATTTTTTTTTAAACTCAGCTTTTATTTTATTTTTTTTTAGCAAAATGTGACTAGTCAAGTCCTTAGATCAGGATATACACTTGCAGCAGGCATGTATTTGGGTCATGCTATCATCTGTGGTGTACAGAAATGCCCTTCACATGCTACAGCGAATGGGAAACCTGTAAAATTCCAGTGTGAATCAACATCTCAGGTATAGTTTGGTTCAACTATAATAGTATTCATCATAAAAGAATGTAAAGCACCAAATAGATTTTATGTAACTAATATCTATTATGTGTTTTCTTTTTATTAATAAGAGTTTGATTAAGAAACAGATTGCAGTCTAATTGTGTATAGGAACTAATTATTACCTGAAAAATTGCAATGAAAATATTACCTATATGCAACAATATTTTTGGTAGTAAGAGTTGTGTAAATGCAATGCTTATTTTAGATTTTAGAATCATGACAGAATGTATTTACTTAAGGTTATTGCTTATAACTAAATATACTAACCAAAATTCATATTAAATAAAACTGATTAAGTTAGTGGTTTTTGGTAATTAAAATAATGATCATTGAATAAAATATTTTGCTAGTCAAAAGGAATTTGATTCCATTAGCTCATTAGGTAGATGTGTGGGTGATACTTCCTGTTTCTATATATTCAGATGTCACAGTGGCAGCAAGCACAAATGTTTGATTTACTTGTGGGCCAAAAGGTAATGAAGGGTGATAGACAAGTAAGATCCACATAGAAACAAAAATTTCTGGAGATTTTTTCTTAAATGCAATGTCCCTTCAGGATGTTGGTATTATGTCTCTCCACTGATTTCTTTTCTTTATTATATGTGAAATGCTATACTATATCTTCTTGGGAAAGACAGTAATTTCTCATTGGTTTCTCCATGGTTTTGAATTTATTGTACTTCTCTTAGACTCTCTTCTCTCCACGATTAGAAGACTCAGTTTATTTACCCATAACTGGAAGAAAAAAATAGAAAATGCCTTTTCCCAAGAATACAGTGTTTTGCAAAAGTGAACATAACAGACTTGGTCTGAATTTGAACTCTTCTCACTGATTCCACTGGCTATGCTGATAATCATTATGCAACCCAGACATCCTGTTTGGCAATTAACAAACATTAAAAGTTGTGCTATGAAGAAAACTAAGGTTGTTCAATGGGTTTATTCACCTGGAATAGTTGTTAAAGATTACCAGATGCTCTATAATATATGGCTGCTATATGCTTTGAAATTTCAGTGGAGTTCTGTCTTATGGTTTCTAGCATCATTATATATGCTCCTGTCTTCAAATGACATTAATATATGTTGATATTACATGATAACATCTCATTTTGTCTCTGAAATGAAAGATGACAATATTTGGGTCATTCATTCATCAATATTTGAATTATTGCAATGTAACCTTCATATATATATAGACTAAACAAATTTATTTGCTGCTGTGACAACCCTTCAGCCAAAATCAGCTGCACTTGTATTAATGGATGTTTGGGTAAAAATTCTGGAAACACTCATACAACCATACCAGATAATCTGAGAGGTATCATATTTTCCTTTAAAGAAAACAAGTAACATATATGATATAACATTGCATATCAATTCAGAACTCAGAATACGCAAAAAGGCAACAATTAATAAAGAATTTTAAAACCAAAATGTGTTCAAGTATAATTGAGAAAATTTAAGTTTGAGATTTGAAAAGTCAGCAAATTCTTGCTGAATTTTCAACAAAATATATTTCATCTTCTCTATTTCTACCATAAATTCTTTTAGATATAATTTAATTATTATCTAATTTAAGTAGGAAATATATTTGAGAAAGTTTTTCAAATAAATGTGAACAATTATTACCTGCTTAATCTAAACTTAAATAATTTTTAACAGTAAAAACATCTGTATATGAAAACATTTCATGAATCAAAGAAGTGCAGCAGAGATCACATTCCTCTCACTTCCTGCACTGAATGTAGTCTTGTCTTGAATTTACTTTTGACCAGAAACAAGATTTCAGTGATGTTTGGCAAATACTGATATTCTTCAATAATATCAATGTCAGCATTTGGACAGTCTCCACAGATTTGTTCAAACACTGCTTGCAACTGGATGACACTCTTCTGATCTGCCACAATGCTTTCACTGTTAGCTGCTCCTATAAAGGGGTAGTAACTCTGGTTTAACATTTTACTGTATGATTGATATAACATTGGGGCAATGCTGGTTCAATGTTTTGCTGTGTGAAAATGCCCAATAACAATTTGAATCAGTGAATAATTAAAATGATATAGTGAGAAATTCAGGGAATGCTCCAAAATAAAGAATGTATCAACAGTACTAAGACCCTATATTAATAAACTGCATATACTTCTTGGATACATGAATATGATTGTACAGAATGAGGAGGGAAACAATTTAAATGGTATCAGGAAAAATTTATGCTGCATAGTGTCTGAAAGAAAAGCGTTACCACGAAAAAAAGGCCATTGGAATATAAAAGTGGACTAAAAAATATTACAAGAAATTGTAAGTAAAGTCTTTTTTTTTTCCAAAAAAAAATTTCTTAGCATTTAAACTACAAATAGTTTATAAAGTCAAAAAAAAAAAGTTTTATTTTTTTGTCCATTGCACAAAATTCTGAAAAAGGACACAATAACCAAAGGCAATTTACATCAAATGCCCAACCTCCTGCAAAAATGGTTTTATTAGGGAATTTGGAAACTAACTGGATAAGGTTTATTTGAAATTTTCAAAATTATTGAAAAGTCAGTTAACTCAACAAAGAACATGTTAGTACATGCCAAACATCATTCTTTTTGTCAACAATATGAGAAGACAGATACAACATTTACGAGTGGTTGAAATTCAATAATGAAGAGGTGAAAGAAAAGTTGGAAGAAGTAATAAAGAAATTCAAAGAATTTTTTGTGGGAGAAACCTGTGAAGTTTATGAAGCTTGCAAATTTCATATTCAAAAGCAAGAAGCTTCAGATAGTATAGTGGTACATGTTGCTGTGCTCCAGCTGTTAGCAAAGGCTGCAATTTTGGGGAAATGGAAGACAGGCAAAGTTGGGATCAAATAGTTGTAAGGGTTAAATATGATACAGCCATGGAAAAAGTTTTTAAAGGATAAAAGGCTTACTCTAGACAAATGTATAGACATAGGTAGAGCCTATGAAACTTCCAAGCAACCAACCAAAAATATTTCTGTAGGCACAAATGTAACAGAAGCAAACATTAGCAGAGTAACACCAAAGAAATATAAAAAGAACTCTCATCATAAAAGCAGTACAAATAAATGCATATGTTGTGGCAATATATTCTATCTTACATTCAAAATGACTGTCCAGCCAAAAATGCAATTTGCTGAAAGTGGTCAAGAAAAGGACATTAAGCAAAAATGTGTAGGACTGGCAGGTCTAAAATTTCAAGAAATGAGGGATGAAGAACCACACTACGTCCTTGGGTTTATTGCTACGATACTAATGATAGAATTAAAGCGGTCACAGAAGAAACCTGGGAAAGTTGAAGTTACTATAAACTATGTAGTAAAGTAATTCATTTCAAATTGGATACTGGAGCAGATGTAACGGTAGTCCTCAGTAGTTATTTTAGAAAAAAGTCCCCAGTTATTAAAAAAATGTAACAAACAACTGTATGGATCAAGTGAACAATTTATATCCTACGTGTTAACTAGTTTGGACGTCAAAACAGTCAAAGAATTCATCTTCTATTCTTTCTGTGCCCTGTAATTTAATACACTTAAATTATGCCACACAGATAGCAAATGCTATCATACAATGCATTATTCCAAACCTATAACACCTGTTGACACAATACTGCAAGTGTTGTAGATAGTATTCGTTCATTATATCTCATATTCAGTGAGGAGGATCAAATTTGATAATTGTGTCACATTATGGAAGTTGTCAAACATTTTGCAGAACATGTTGAGTAGCATCAGTAACCTGTGGGTGAGCATTATTCAACTGGAAGTTAACCTCCTTTCTGTTGTTGAAATAGCAGCAGAGTGGTCCGAAAATGTTCTAGACATACATGATGCTATTAAAGATCCTCTTTAAAAACACTACAGAGTAGCAAAATTGTAATTATAGTATTCCACTTTCAGATGCTAGGGGTTGAGCTTGTGTAGCTTGCATACATTCTGGGTTTGTGCATACATGAGAAAATATATATTAGTAGCTCTATATATAAAATATAAAAATTAAAACTTCACTGAATCAGAGAAATGAAATAGCTATTTTTTTGCCGTCATTGTCAAAAAATTTTCCTTAAATAATATTTTGAAAAATAAAATCTTAAAAAAATGTGACCTGGTAATATACATACTTATATTTCATACTGAAAAATAATTTTATATACTGGAAATAATTCTATTACATTTACATGTTTTAAAAAGAAACATAGTTTATTAAAAATTAAAAGGAAAAATATTTTAAAATGGTAGTTAAATAAAATGTATTCTAAACTGAACATCCCCCCCAAAAATCTTTAAGTATACAAATAGAAAAAATGCCATAAGAATTTTTGCTGTTAACTATAAGACCCCCCGCCAACCCAAAAAAACCCCAGTCGACATGAATTTAACGGATGTCAGAATTCGTTGAAAAATACATCCCCACCCGTACCTACACCCTTTTTTGAACGTAACAAATAGCTGATACAACAAAAATTAATAAAAGTGAACACGCTAACACCCCTTGTCTAGATGATTGGATTTCTCTGTATCCTTGGTAACGTAAATTATGAATTTCCCTTGCAGTTAAAACTCAGTAAATTTAAAAAAATAAGTTACTTCAAAATTCGCTTGAGGATGAAATGGAACTAATGTTTTTAATTTAATTACAAAAATTAATTTGAAGTTAAATATGTATATATAAAAATGTATATAAAAATAAATAAATATAAATATATAAAAATTATATACATGTATATTTGTATATAAAATATTATATATTACATATTATTATTTATATAAAAATATATAAAAATATATTTATATATATATATTATATAGATAATATTTTACATAATATAGATATATATTATATAATTTTTATATTTTTATATAGATTTTTATAAATATATGTTTATTTATATATATTTATATATTATAAATAATTTTTATATATTTTATAATGTAAATTTTTATAAAAATATTTTATATATTTTTTT